CATTTACGAAAAAGATAATGTCATAGATTTCTAAAGCAAATATGTTTGCTTCACCGGCAATCTAAACACAGAATGTGATATGAAAAATGACTGACATTCCTTGAAATGTACATCTGCCTATGACCCAATTATAACCGTGGCAATGTGGGGTAGTAGTTAACGTGTCGAGCTTACACGCTCCAGTATCATGGTTAGACTCCCTTTTGGGGTGATGTTAAGACTCATGCGAGGTCTAAAATGCAGTCAACCTAAGCCTGGGTGAGAACACCTTTTGGAAAAGCAAGGCTGTGTGAAAGTTAATGCAAAACATCAGCTCTACTCATAACATTATATGAAAATAAGGCTACCAGTCCTTTATCACCTTAAACGAAATAGGGTGAAAACAACTCATACATCTGATTTACTCTGGTAGTCTCGAACAGCTATTTACTCACGAAAAAAATTTCACATTTTAACTGATAACAAACCTTTGTGTGGAGCCTTTAAGAGCGCTTCAGACAAGTATTCTTCGCGCAAATTCCGCCAAATAGAAAATATCGCACAATTCACCATCGATGTGCGCTACGTAAAAGGAGCAGACAACATCGTCGCAGACACCATCTCCTGCATTGGCATGGTTTCTGTTGTACCAGGCGCTAAAATTGATTATAAAGTAATGGCAGATGCACAGGAACGTGAATGCAATCAAATCGCCGCTCGCCAATGACCCAAACTGACAATGACGGAGATAGAAATTGCACAAGGTATCAACATATGGTGTGAAATGTCTAGGGGAAACATCGTCTTTGGGTCCGTTCCGCCATGCGGAAATTTGTCTTACAAGCAGTTCATGATTTGGCGCATTCAGGTCTACATTCATCCGTTTCGTCTAGCCGGGAATGCAAGTAGACATCGGAAAGTGAACTATAGCCTGCCCAGTTTTACAAAAGTAAAAGTAAACAGACACAGCAAGACTTGTATCGGCAGTTTTTAGTCAGTTTCAGAGGAATCCAACCATATCCACATGAACATTGTTGGTCTCCCTCCACCTTGTAATGAAAACCGCTATCTCCTCAGCATTGTGAACCGCTTCACACGATGGCTAGGAGCTATTCAGATTCCGGAAAAACAGGTGGAGACAGTTGCGAGAACATTTATCATTTACTAGGTTTCCAGATTTGGCACACAGACAACCGTCACAGCCAACAGAAACGGGCAGTTTGAATCCGATCTTTTCGCCCATTTGTCTAAATTATTAAGAGCGAAAAGGATTCACAAGTGCGCCTATCACCCGCAAGCCAACAGTTTGATATAACGTTTCCAAAAGGCCTGCCTAAGATGCCATAAGAACCAGGAAAAGTGGACAGTTAATTTGCCTTTAGTGCTATTTAACTTGCAGACCACGATCAAAGCGAAAACTGATTGTAGTTAAACAGAAATGGTTTGCGGATGCCGATTAGGGCAACCCAATGATTTCATTGCCACAACTAATATTAGAGCACCTCGTGTCAATTACGTTACGATAGAGAAACTAGGCAGCATACCTTTGAGGCCAACCCAATGCAGATTTGAAGTGTCCAAAGACCTTATATACGTCTACATCAGAGACGACCAAGTATTAACTAAGGAAAGTCATTCAATATTACAATAAATAAGATTTAGGCAAGTACATATGTACGAACACGAACAAATATAAATATGAAATCAGTGTAACAGAAGGGCTTAAAAATATTGACTCACAGGTAGACAAATAAGGCTGAAGATGGACTGTCGCAGAGGTAGTAAAATGACGGAGAAAGAAAGCATCAAGCTGAGTAGAAAGGCTAGTCTCATTGCTAATCCAGACATGTTCTCTGGATATAGAGTCAGCATGTTTCCTGGCAAAGCCATTGGTTGAAGCTCAATTTGAGATGCTGGCTGTACTAAAGAAGCGAGAGCTACGTAGCCAAAAAAGCCAACCTAATTATGATCAAATGCATAAATAGTACATTTTAATGTAAACAACTAAATATTGTTTAACAATTTTAAAAAATCTATGAATTTAGCATTAAACCAAATCCATGGAAATTATTATTCTAAGCATAAATCTTGGTTTGTGATAACTAAGTTTCCTCCATATACTAATATTAGGATATGTGAAGTGTGGTAAAAAGTGATATTCATCTGAGGTGGCAGTTTCGACCTCCCTATCTTACAGATCTGAATAGCATTCAAGAACTTACAATCCTAACACTAGTAATACAAACTTGGAAAGTTCATTGATACTTTGGCTTCTAGCTAAGATGCAAATCAGGATCTCTATCTACCACATTTAGAGCTAGCTAGTATAATTGCAAATGCACTAAAGCAGCGTTAATATGACCCTGATTAGAGAAGACAAAAACAGTCAGAAGATCCAAGGACATTATTTTAAAATCACATTAATAAATAAAGGGTCCAAATGGCAGTAAATAGGTCTGAAAGCCATACATTATATGCATAAATCACAAGGCTTTATAATAGTCAGCAAATAGTTTACAATCAAAAATGGCTAAAGGTTGGTGACGCAAGGAACGATAATGTGCATCAGTTAAGATGTGAATAAAATAGACTAGTAAGACTATAAAGAGCGCTAAGTAAAAGGATCTGAAAAATATCAGCAAACAAGGTAGAATGCGACTTTGAGAGAGGTATGAAAATGCTGAATAAAACCTTACTCATAGTGAATATAAGACCACCTTGCTAAGAATAATCTAAATGGAAGTTGATTGATCTTGTTTTCACAACTTGGACGTAATGTCACAGAAACATAGACGAGCATACCTTGTCCAGCGCCCATAGTATACTTAAGATTTTATTATGAAACTTAAACAAATGCAACCCATTTGAGATCAAAACAGATGCCTCACGTAATTATCAAGTACTATGAAGAATTCATACGAATTTTGAAAAAAAATCAAAGGCACCAGTTTGGAGGGAAACGAAATATTGGTGAGCCTTGATGTACAGTCCATGTACACTAACATCTAAAGAGAAAAAGCATTCACTGCAATAATGGAGATCTTGGAAAGAGGGACAGCACCCTGGAGACGGATTGAATTCGAAAAGTCTCTAGCTTGATTAATCAACTTATAAATACCTATTTCATGTTTAAAGGCCGCATATATGAATAAATATTTGTTATGCCTATGAGCTTATCACCCCCCATCTATTTGCTAAGGTCTACATGAACAAGATAAAATATAATTTTAAAAAGTAATCTCACAAATCAAAATTCATTATATGAGATGACATGTAAAAAAAATAGACGATTTCATAGTCGTTTTAAACATTGATTAAAACAGTAAAATTAAAAATCAATGTTGAGAACGAACATTAATCTTTCTTGAATGTAGAAGTCCTTTGTTCAGAGGGGACTCTTAATAATCGGCTGTTCTAAAAGAAATCGCATGCAGGAATAATACTTAACTTCCAGTCCCATCAAATGTACGGAATTTAAATTGAGATACTCAAGAGTATGCTTACAAGAAAACTCTGAATCACTGATTCTGAGTTGTGAGACGAAGAACTGGAATAGCTATTTTAGATATTAATTGAAAATGGATATCCAAAAGAAGCAATAAAACGCAAAATACGGAGCGTCATGAGCAGATGGAAGGACGGAGATTATGAAGAGAAAGCAAGTGATAGAAAAACGATGGATGAATCTACCCTCATGTGAACTGGCTAGGAAGCTGCGGCAGATACTATGAAAATGAAACAACCGTACAATCCTGAAGGACAACCCTCTTCACCAGCTAACCTAACCAACATGAAGAAGTCAGCAAAATTCTTCGCATAGAAGTTGTTTGACCTTATTTTAGCAACTTGGTCATAATGGTAGGAAGACTGATAGAAACGCACCTTGTCCTGAGTCCATTGTATGCATAATAGAAGTTGTTTGACCTTGTTTTCGCAACTCAGTCATATTGGTAGGAAGACTGATAGAAACGCACCTTGTCCTGAGTCCATTGTCTGCATAATTAGAAACTCGGTCATATTGGTAGGAAGACTTAAAGAAACGCACCTAGTCCGGAGTCCATTGTATGCATCATCGTTTGGTCATAATGGTAGGAAGACTGATAGAAACGCACCTTGTCCTGAGTCCATTGTATGCATAATTATTTCTTTTCGCAACTCGGTCATATTGGTAGGAAGACTTATTGGAACGCACCTAGTCCGGGGTCCATTGTCTGCATGATCATTTCCTTGGTCATTTTGGTAGGAAGACTTATAGAAACGCACCTTGTCCTGAATGGTCACATTGGTAGGAAGACTTATTGGAACGCACCTAGTCCGGGGTCCATTGTCTGCATGATCATTTCCAAAGTAAGACCGTGGACGTGGTACATTCCCAGACGTTTCGCCGGCATCGTCAGTGAGTATCTCCATTCTTAGCACCAGCGTGAACGTGGTACATTCCCAGACGTCTCGCCGGCATCGTAGTCGGCATCTTCTGTGAGTTTTACCATTCTTAGCACTATATTACAAGTGGTCAAAGAGACAAGTGAAGCCGATCCTTTGAGCAAACGTGTGCTAAACAATTATGGTATGTTTCGTTCTGCCCTGGCCTATCACATTTCCTATAACCTCCAATCACGCCTTCACTGTCACAATATTTTACTTG